TTTTTTTTTTTTTTTTTCCATTGTCCTCCCTTTTTGGCAACTGTTTGTGTCGTTGGTTCTCCTTGTTGATACAAAGTTGAATAAATCCTTTTGAATTAATATTACTTTCAATTTTTGTTTAATAGACTGCTGGCTTCATCCTCTCCATATGCCTATAGCACTCATGATAGAAGAGTTTGATCTTCTACCTGTTAACTAATTGAAGACCGTGGATAGGTTGAGGTTGATTCAATAATACGATTGACATAATCTAATCATTCACTTTTTTTAAACCCCTAGTCTACAGGATATACCCATTGTTCGCCCTAACGCCATGCAATCCATTATAACAGACCGCCGTAACACCTGGTAAAACTACCAACTCAACTTTTCAATCTTACTTCGCCTTCCCGGTTCTAGCCTTGCGTTCGTTGGCCCTCATCTTCCTCTCATTTCTCCTCGCTCTTTCCATCCGCTCTTTTCTGCCTTCGTTTCGAATAGACTTGCCCTCGTTATTCATCTGTTCCTCTTTCTTCCACTTGGACTCGTCAACCTCCACAAGCCAGTCATCCTCGGTTCCCTTATTTTTCCCCTTGTATCCCCACTTGGGCACCCACTCGCCCTTCTCCTCGTCATAAACCAGGTTTTTCTTCCGTTCGGTGTCGGCTAGGCCGCTGCCCAGCTTGGTGTTGTACTTGCCAATTCCCTTCTTGCGGGCAAAGAGCTCCCATTTGGTAGGAGGTTTGGGAGTAGGCAGTGGTTTAAACCGAGGTACCATGGTCGTTGGACGTGGAAGGGTGAGAAGAACACCGTCTTGCATTGAGCTCGTTATCGGACAGGTGGTGAGGAGCTGGTTGACAAGGCACTGGGCGCCATCGCGTGCCGTAGCTTTCAGGGTCTGGTTTAATATCAATGGCGAAGATTTTGCAGACTGAGGGAGATCAATTGGGTTCGCATCCAGCGCCATAAGATTTCCAAGGTCGAATACATATGGTGTGGGCTTTTCAACCGTTATCGGCCTGGATTGCACGTTAGATATAAAAAGAAAATTTGTAGGTTGAAGCATCATACGCACAGTCTCTCTGGCTTTGTCTTTGACTTGACCTTAGTCGTTGAATCCGCCATAGCTATGTCTGGCATGATGTTCCAGCCTGTTTTTTTTCTCTTAATCTCAAATAATGCGACTGGTCTGTCCTCGATATATAAATTACTGTTCGTGAAGATCAAAAAAAATATGTCAAAAATTCACAAGGTGGATGTTCCTTGCCGCTTTAGACGAAGCTTCTGTGTGCAGTATTATCACGTGATATCATAAAAACAGCGACAACTTTTTCCCCTTTCGATCTTCATCACTTTTTTTCCTTCAAAAAAAGCGACGTCAAGAAGCAAAAAAACCATCAACGACAAACTGCAAAGTGAACGCGGCGAGCCATTGGCGTTCGGTAGAGACCAGATCAGCAGTCTGGTGTGCCCGAAGATGGCTTCCTCTTGTTGCTGGAGATGTGTGTCCCAGATACGCTCAGTATACCCGTCTCGAGCACTCTCACTACCGGCGCTCTCTCAACAGTCGACTCTTCTCCGTACACTACCTACATCCTCGTCATTCCATACTAGCGCAGCTCTCAATGCCGCACCAGCTAAGAAAGGGAAGAACCAGAATCCCGGACCGAAATTCCGTGAATCACGAAGTACACGAACGTTGAAGAAGGGGAAGGCAGGCAGGCCGGCTCGACGAAGCCCGGACGAGCGAAGGGCTCTAAGCCATCGAATTGTGCTAAGTAACAACAATGCGCTCGAAGTTACCGGTCTACAAGAGCTTAGCGTGGCGAATTTGAGCGATCCAGAGCTTAGGACTCAAGTAGTGGGTTTGCCAATGAATCTGGTTGACAGATTGAGGGCTGTTGAGGCCTTCAGGAGGAGCCAGGGATGGAGTTTGTTCAGACGGCCCTGCACTGTGGTTAGGAAAGAAACTGTTGAACTAGGCAGGTTGATTGAGCATATCAATGATAAGGAAAAGGGCGCGGAAGCTGTCATGAAAATTGTCACAGGCGGTAGAGGCACAGGGAAGAGTGTTCACCTGCTGCACGCTACTACAATGGCCTTTTTGAAGAACTGGGTAGTGGTCACAATTCCAGACGGTATGTTCTTTATCCCCATTATGATTTCAAAGCTAGGTGCTAACGTACAATATAGCCTGGGATATTGTCAACGGCACAACGGCCTATGCTCCAGTCCCTAACTCAAACCCAGTCAAATATTTCCAGAAAAATGCCACTGCCGAATTGCTCAAGCGCATAGCCGAGGGAAACAAGGAAGTTCTCTCAAAACTGCACATTTCCCGATCACACCCTAACGTCAAGGACTCTGGGATTTCTCTCTTCGAGATGGCAAACATCGGTATCCAGCAACCGGACCTCTCATGGTCGATATTCCGCTCTCTCTGGTCTGAGCTTACTGCCACGGGACCAGCAATGGACACGAATGCAGCTAAGGGAACCAAGCCATTCACTGCTCGTCCTCCGCTTCTCGTCACAGTTGACAACCTCGCCCGCTGGATGGCTGAGTCTAAGTACCGCAACCCAGAATATAAGCTCATTCACGCTCATGACTTTACCATTGTCGAACATTTCCTCTCTCTGATGCGTATGGAGCCCAAGAAAGCCTTGCCGAATGGTGGTCTCGCATTGTATGCAACTGCTGCCTCCAACTGCATGAGATTGCCTTCTCTGGAACTCGGAATCAAGCAGGTTGCTGCTCGACAGGCCGGAATTAGCCCGTCCTCTCCTGATTACCCTGTTATGTACGGCAAGCTGGACGACCGTGTGGTCTCGCTGTTCTCTCAGGCCAAGGAGATGGGTTATATTGAGCTCTCTGGCCTGGGCAAAGACGAAGCTGCTGGCCTCTTGCAGTACTATGCAAAGAGCGGTCTGCTGAGAGACCGTGTTGACGGACGGTTGGTCGGTGAGAAATGGTCCCTGTCCTCTGGCGGTATTGTTGGTGAGCTGGAGCTTCTCGGCCGCCGTCTACGAGCTCTACCTCTTACTGTCAAGGAACAGTAGCCCCTGTCTCCCTCATGTACATCATCCACCTTTGTGTATCTTGTTTCTTATATCTTGATTGACTACTACTGTTTTTACTGTATGATTACTTGCAACCACTAGATGGAGAAGAAGAATAGCAGCATCTTGATTGTCAAGGCTATGATGATAGTGAAAAAAAAAATCCAACCCTTGGGTTGAGCTCCCACCATCCCACCACGCTCAACCCCTGCCCCTTTGTACGCAAGCGGAAAACTCGGGCGCTAGGAAAGATTACATAAGGTGAGCCACGTGATGAACTTCTTGAAAAGGAAAAGACAACGACATCTCAACTTCATGACAACAACAACACACAGCAAGAAACACGAACAACAACAACAACAGGAAGATGAGGTGACTTACTCTCGATGCAGTGCAGCTGCGCTACCCCAAGACTGACCATCCCTCCGCATGGATTGCGTGTCTGTGAGGTGACGGGGTGTTAGCTTGCTGCTTTGGAGATAGATTGTTGCGTGTGTGGGATGGGGACTGATGAAGGGCCGGAGAGGAGACAGGAGCAGAGGAAGGGGAAGAAGAAGATGAGGAGGAATAGAAGAAAGAGAGAAGTTGAATGAAGATGCGATACCTCTGAACAGCCGCTGCTGCGCCACCACAGGAACCCATCCCTCGATGACACATCCGGTGTCTGCACATGTGTTAGCGTGTTCATGATGATATAGATGATGGGGCTACTTGCCTCGATGCAGTGCACGCTGCGCTACCACAGACTAACCATCCTCCAGTGGCTTTAAGAAAAGAACCTAGAAAAGAAAAGATGCAAGCTGCAAGTGTCTGCGCATGTGTTAGTATGTGGTCAATGGTGAGTGATGAAGTGACGGGAGACTTGCCTCGATGCATTCCGTGCTGCGCTACCACAGACAAACCCATCCTCCCTTGCAGCCTCAACATGTTATCTGCGCAAGAAACTGTCAGCTCGTGAATACATTGTAGGGTAGGTGATACTCGGTGATACTCCCTTGGATCAGTCCCTTTGCAACCACCACAATATATGCAATTACCTATGTGAGAAACCGTTAGTACGTGAGCACAAGGTAGGGTAGGTGATACGCCCCTGGATTAGTCCCTTTGCATCCTCCTTGACAAAAAAAGCCCTATACAGAAGAAGAGCACCTATACGAGAAACGGTCAGTACGTGAGCACAAGGTATGGTAGGTGATACGCCCCTGGATTAGTCTATTTGCATCTTCTTTCCAACAAAAAAGCCCTAAACAGAAGAAGGTTACCTATGCAAGAAACTGTCAGTACGTGAGAATAATGTAGGGTAGGTGATACGCCCCTGGATTAGTCCCTTTGCACCCTCATTTGCAAGCTGGCAGAAAGTTAAGTCAGAAGATATAGGCTGCAAGTGTCTGCGCAAGCGTCAGTATGTGAATGCTGATAAGATGTTGGGTGGGTTGCTTGCCTCGATGCAATCCGTTTTGCACCACCACAGACAGACCAATCCTCCCTTGTAGCCTGAGCAAGTGGGCCACCGTGTTGCCGACACACAGACGTGCATCGGCAACACGGTGGCCCAAACCTGGAGTTTGAAACGGTTAGCGCACATCTTTTTTTTTTTGAAAGACCAAGGAGGAGAAGGATGGTTACTTACCGTTTGTTTGGCATACGCCGACCACCATCCACCCCTGCTCCGGTTATGGCCCCGGTGGACCCCCTAGGACAACGTTAGCATGATACCCATGAAAAACGGAGAATGACAGAAGGTGACTCACCAATTGAGCTACCTGACAGCAAAAATCTATATACCCGTAAGCAGCACCAGAATTCATGGAAGAAAAGAACGCACGACGGAAAGCAGATTTTTTTGGTATTTTTTTTTTTCTGTTCGTGGTAAAATCCGCGTGATAGGGGGAAGAGAGGGTGGCAATATGGGAACCCGACACTGACCTCAGGTACGTGGTCACCCTGGAGAACACAACAGAACCAACTAGGCTGGCCAGACCTAGTTGAGAGCTGAGTGCACACCAGGCACCACCCACTTCTCGACATTCACAACGGTGACAGCTTCGTGAAAACTGACTCGCTTGGTATTTTCCACGCTGGTGGTGGTTCGCAAAGCACTCTTTCTTGGTAAAGAGTTGGAGCTGCGTGCCTCAGCAGCGACGTTGGCGACCAGTCTTTGGGCGCGAAGGATGTTCCGGATGTCCATGGGTGTTGCGGCGACGGGACCTAGAGTCTCAGCGAAGGGGCGTGCGTCTCTTTCAAGCACTAGCGGGAGGGCAGAGAAGACGCGGGAGGGAACGGGAGTGGGAATCCGTGTTGGACGCACCACCAAGGGAACCCCTTGGCGGATACGTGCAACACGGCGGGAGGGGGCAGAGGCAGGAAGGGGGGTATGGTCCGCTGCTGGACCAGAAGAAAGAGCAAGAACGCGGGCACGCAACGCAGCAAGACGAACGCTCAACTCAACAGGGGGAACAGGGGAAGAAACAGAACGCTCAGACAAGGGGGAAGAAAGGAAAGGGGAAGAAACGCCAGACTCAACAGGGGATACAATAAAGGGGGAAGAAACAACACTATCAACAGGGGACAAAAGAAAAGGGGAAGAAGAAGCAGAAGACACAGGGGACAAAAGGAAAGGGGAAGAAGAAGCAGAAGAAACAGGGGACAAAAGGAAAGGGGAAGACACAGCAGAAGATACAGGGGACAAAATAAACGGGGACGAAACAGCAGAAGACACAGGGGACAAGATGAATGGGGACGAAGCAACAGAAGACACAGGGGAGGGAGTAGCTGGAAGCTCTACAGCAACCGGCTCTACAACAGGGTAGCGAAGACGGAGCAACAGACGACGACGACGAAGACGAGAACGGGAGGGCCAGCAGCGGACACGGTCAGAAGAAACGGGACGTACCTTTCTGAGCCGTTGTTGATACTCGATGGCACGGGCGCGCTCATCAGCCTGACAACGGCCCACGTAGTAGAGAAAAACAGCAAGAAGACCAGCAACAGACAACACGAACAGCATGGTGAACAAAAAAAACAGAAGACAGTAAGGAAAAGTCGGAGGTTAGGGGGTGGTCGGGCGACCGCCGGAGATAGGAGGGAGTTGGAGAAGAGAAGAGAAGATCGAGCCGAGGCAAGCAAGAGAGCAGCAGGAGCAGCAAGAGAATCAGCGTGAGCACTAGCAGTACGTTCGTACGAGCAGTAGTCAGCAGAAGACGCAAGCGTGAGGGAAAGAAAAGAGAAAAAAAGACGGCCAATTTGGGCCGGGAGAGAATCAATATACCCGTCCGGCGGCTCTGGGTCCTTCTTCAACAGGCAATTCTGCATGGTTTTGAGCAGGAGCAGCTCAGAAAAGAGAAGGAGAGACGGCCCAAAATTCCCTATCCAGGCAGGATGTATTGCTCTATTTGGTTGTTTTGGAGGCAAATCCAGCGCCGGGGAAGGTGCCTCCTACTTTTCTGAGCGAAAATTACGGACTCTGGAGGCCGTATCGGGGGTACCGTGGGATAGGTGGGCAGGGCAGATATCCTGAAAGCGACCTGAGTCCCGGATGTAATTTTGGCATATGAGGGCATATCTAGCATCAGCTCGACGAGACGAGTCGGATGGTACCATTTTTGCCCGGGTATCATGCGTTGTGAGCGGTCATCCATCCGGCAGGGGGCGAAATCAGGCTTGGATAGCATCCCTTCACGTAGACGGGGAAAAAGGCGTTGAGGGCGGTTAAAAATTGGCATCCACAGACTCGTCTCTTCTCTGTCTCCAGTTTGTGACCAATTTCAGGCCCCCTCGAGCGCTGGTTGTGGTGCTGTCAGACGTGATCTGGGACTGGTAAACAACAGACTAAGCGACGGCGAGGTCGGCCCATGCAGCATAGAATCGAAGTTGTAGTGCATGATAAACAGCCGTAGACGGACTTCTCAGCTCCCTCGAAGCGATCTCTGCGTCTTCCATCCTCGCTTTCCGTTTCGCCAAAACAGACGTAACAAGGCCTGTGCGTCGGACGTATTTCCTTCCACCAGCGCAGCGCAGGAAGCGACGCCGAGACAGTGAGGATCTTTGGCTGAGAGCGTCTCTTCTACTCTTTGTAGGCATTTACAGTTGGTATCTACAGGCTTACGGGCTGCTACATGCTTGTTGTGTTGAGAAATAGGGGCTGTTTTGTTTATCAACATTGACCTACGACGACCCTCTATACGACCACAGCGAGGTTGATACTACCGAAAACTAAGGCTACGGGTATATCAAAACAAAGGCAGGATACTAGGAGTCAGGTAGGCTTATTCTACTCGTCGTGGTGGGGGAGATATAACCGGTTGATAGGGACTACACCCGCTCTGCACCTTACGACCTGACACCCAGACATAACTCTTTTCGGGAAAATGACACATCCCACGCTATCTACAAGAGACGGCAGTTAAAATGGTAGTACTTTCATGCTGATTGCTCGTGGTTGAAAATTTCCCATAAAGTGGCCCCAAAACACCCATTATACCTATCTCGACCGAGAAAGAGTGAAGAAAGAAGCAAAGAGACCTGTATACCCCATGAAAAAGGTATACTTTACTTGAAAAGCTGTGTAGGGGACCCGGTTGTGGATAAAACACCATGGGGTGGCTTTGGGATGCGTTGGTGTGGGCAATCTACATCCTACAACATAGAGAACCTCAAACATTTTAACCACTCTATAGCGCTGCATTTCTATAGCTATCCTAACATATGAACATGTCCCATATCACGTATGACATGTTCTATTTGGACATTATCCAGCTAAGAGAATAATATTAGATAGTATTGAGAGCCACTCTTCAATGCTTGATGCTACCTACATCCCTACGGCAAGCCGTTGTCGATTGGAAGTTGAAGGACGAAAGAGTTCACTACTGTTAAGCACTGCTAATATGACAACTATAGCTTCTTAAACTTGAAATGGATCACGAAAATACTCTTTAGCAGCGACCTTGGCTAGATGGTCGCTCAGAGGCCGTCATTTACTTTTCTGAAATCTCCTGACTGTCATAAACTCGTTACATTCTAAGACAAGTTAGCAAGGAAACGTAAACCAATGATATTAGTTATATGACCAGTACTATGGGAACAACACATACCTTTTAACAGGCAAAAAACCTAGCAACCGCATACCATTTTCTAGCACCTGTCGTGCTCCTTCATACAGAGCTAGACGAGCGACAGTGACTTCGTGGCTCTCAGCACCAATTACCTTGATCACATCGTATCCCGAGGAGACTTGATGTGCCAGTCGGAAAAGATATGTCAGGATTGTGGTTGGCTCTAGTGTTTTCACAGCATTACAGGTAACGTCAGGATACTGGGCCATAAGGCGAAGGATATTGATGGCATGTGGCTCCTTTAAGAGAGAGAAGTTTGCAGTTGTAATCTCCTTGGGGTCAATATCCACTTTCCGAACGATAGAACAAAGTCTCGCATGAGCGTATTGAAGATAGGGGCCTGTATCGCCCTCAAAGGAGGTCATCTTAGCAATGTCAAATGGATAGTTGTGGATTCTTTTGCCCGCCATATCCTGAACCATAACTGCTGTGATTCCAAGTGTATCTGCAACCTCAGCAGGATTCTCAATTTGCTCATATTTGGCAGGGTTCTTCCGCATGACATCGTGCATGGCACTGCCACATTCATCCAGGATATCACTCAGTATCTTCACAGTGCCCAATCGAGATGACATGCCCATGACTTTTCCAAAGTTGATATGTTCAAGTTTGGCAGCCACATCAGTGTATCCCATGAGTTCAATCGTTTTGAAGAGGCGCTGGAAATATAGATCCTGCTCGGTAGAAACGACATAGATCATTTTATCAAACTGATACTTCTCGACTCTCTCCAGGGCAGCCGCAATGTCACGGAGTAAGTAAGTTGTAGTGCCGATTCGTGTTCTAGCAACTGCAACTCCAAGATGAGGAGCACCATGCTTCTTGAAGTCGATGATCCAGGTGCCGTTATCTTCAGTGTAGACACCCTTTTCTTTGAGAAGTGCTTCGGCTTTCTCGACTGTCGATACTTTCACGGTTGATTCCCCAGAGTAAACATCAAACTTAATATTGAGACGAGCATAGGTCGAGATATACCGCTCGATACTAACATCACGGAACCGTTTCCATAATGCAATAGCGTCGGGGTCCCCATCCTCCATTTTCTGGAAAAATGCATTTCTCTCAGCGAATAAGCCCTTACTTTCAATCTCAGAGGTGTCCTCTCCCCTATCTCGAGCTTGTTCACTAGCCTCCTTCTCTGGCGCGAACAAAGAGTTTATCTTTGCATATACTTCAAGCAGATGTTTCAATGGCTCCTTTGTAAAAAGCTCTTCCGATCCAAACCTCTGCCACCCGACAGCAAGTAGCCCAAATTGTTTTCCCCAGTCACCCAGGTAGTTCACTTTGACCACATCCCAACCCATGCTCTCGTATAGATTGGAAATGTACGCTCCGATGATCGTACTTCGCAAATGGCCAGCATGAAACTCCTTGGCAATATTTGGAGATGAGAACTCTATGATGACCTTTTTCTTGCCAGAGCTTTGATCGTGAGGGTCCCGGAGTCCCTGAAGCGGGTTCGATCCATACGATGCTCGACGGTCAAAGATGAAGGGTAATATCAATTTGGGTAGTGTGTCTGGACAGAACGAGAGGGGTATAAATATCCCATTGGCCGTCGGCTGGCTAAGCAATGAAGTAGACGGGAACTATCCAGTCAATATCTAGTTATAGATCCATTGATATTGAATGTAGGAATATACCTTTGACACTATATCTTCGGCTAGCTGCTTTGGATTGATTCCTTTCAATTTTAAACGGGCTGTAATAAGCATTAAATCGGCGTTCGTAGCCGCATTGGCCCATTGAACAGCATCATATGCAGTGTCTTTATCGCATTCGACTAGCTTTTGAATGACCTCCGCAATATACGAGCGATAAATATCTGCTGGAGCGAAAAGAACATTGGCTTGGGGGAATTGTGGTATTGGAGTCGAGACTTTCAGAGACTGGAGGAGGGCCTCAAGGCCCTGGATAGATGTAGAAGCCATGGTTTGTATTGACAATCGGTCTGTAGTCAACTTGGAAATGAGTCTTTCCCAAGAGTGCTCTCTATATATCACTTTGAGTTTGAGTCATATCAAACAACGTTAAGGTTCGGCTAAGTTAAATTGAACTCTGGGCCGTGGGGTTATTGCTTAGTCAGTAGGGGTTGAGGCTCTGTCTTTATTTCAGCCAATGAAAAGACTATAAACCATTAGCAATATTCCTAATTTCTAATTGGCTGATAACTAGCTATATCGTTTTCTTGTGGGCCTTCTTGGTTATTTCAAGGCCGAATCCTCGATCACCCAGGTCTTATGGCACATCCAAGGCGCATAAGCGACAAGATGATAGCTCTTTGCTATTTTACAAGGGTATATCCGGCACATAGTAATATGTGGCTGCCTATGTCTCCAAATCACGACATTGGTGGAAGGAAGGACAACTGACGACCATTCCAGTTGATCCACAATGCACAGCGAATGCAATACTTCTAGGCTCTGCATCAAATACTGATGTGGCTTGACCATTTCACCATTTCAATATAATACCCCAGCCTTCAGTCCTAAGCTGATCATCGCTAATACCCCGGATTGTCAATGCGTCTTTGTACTCGGAAAGTCCAAAGGCGCTTAGCCTGCTCCGGGAACCATTTGACTGGCTAACGATTGACCTCATGGTACTTAATGACATCGTTCAATCCAAAATATGGTAGCCCTGGTACCGAAGCCATGCCTGCATCAGCTGAGGATGTATGCTTTGTGCCCGATGATATGCCCGCCTTGTTATACTCCAGTTTAAATCTGAGAGCCGGACAAATAGACACTCCCACCACAGCAATGCATGACGCTCAAATATACCTAGAAGCAACCAGGGTCACTTTACTTCTTTTTTTATAAATCTCGTTTTTTACGTAACATCTATTTATTTGGCAAATCTAACCTAATTATAATATATCAAATATCATTTCCAATATACAAGGCCATCCATCAGCCGCCTGGCGGATCTATACACCGTGGCTCTTTCAACCACTTTACTATCACCATCCTTGATCTCTGCACCGACGGCCAACGTGCCTCCAGGATGGCCTATAACAACAGGATCCCCAGCAGCTTCATTTGTCTTCGAGACAAACGGCCTCACAATTGATCCTTCAAGTTTCGTAGCCACTGCAAGGCTAAGTCCGGCAGTGATGGGGAGGGCCTTGTGCGGCTGGCCAACAGAGATAGTTCTGACAGTGATGTCAACTCCCTCCTCGTCAGGCGTAGAAATAATATTGATCTTCGGTATAGACGCCGGAACTTCATCTACTGTCGTTGCCATGCCCATATTAATTGCAGCCTGGGATCTTATTTTCTCTAGCCGCTCAAGTAGACCAGGTGTAGAAGATATCTGGTCCGGAGATATCTTTCCGTCAACCGGCAGGTCAGAAGCCGGGACGAAAATCATCGGATTCCCGACATCGATGCATGTTGCTCGGACACCGTCAAAGGTATCAATCAAGTTCCCTGTAGGCAGTAATTTTCCCGTCTTAGCTCCAGCCGGATTTATAAAGTCGAGTTGGATCCTTGATGCGGACCCAGCAACGCCGTCCACAGTAAAGTCACCGCTAGCTTCGGCCTCGACGCTGCCGTCAGGTGAAACGGATATGGGGAATGTAGAATCGATTATTTTCTGGGTATTTGTATTGAATATGCGAACGGTAGCTGTCCTTTTACCGGCGCTAAGCTCCTCTTCGTCCAATTTAACCAGTCCCGCGTCGATGGCGAACGGGCCCACGGCACTGGACAGATTCCCGCAGTTTCCGGAGTAGTCGATATCAGTTGATTTAATGCCGACTTGAGCAAAGGTGAAGTCCACCTGGGCTCCCTGGGCCCGGCTCAGGTCTGATGCTGGCGATATGATGCAGACTTTTGATAGACTGGACAAGCCGCCCCCAAGCCCGTCAAGTTGGCGACCATGAGGGTCCGGAGAGCCCATGGTGCCCAGCAAGATGGGCTTCCAGTCATCTTGAGATGCAGGCAGGTCTTTCTTCTGGAATATCAGTCCTCTTGAGGTTCCGCCGCGGTAATATGAGGCTGGGATGCGGTTTTGCCGATATAGCGCCGCGCTGGTTGAGAACAGCCGGCTTTTGACCGAGCACTGCAATTGCTTAGAGCCATGTTCCATATTATTTACATTTTTGATCTGTACTTACTGAGTGAGCTCTATGTAACCGCATCATTCCTTATTGTAAATGCACAATGTTGTTAAATGGATCAATTAATTAATTAATTAATTAGCTAGCTGGAGAAATTAAATATTAGTTAGTTGGCTCGGCTCGGCGATCCAGCCGCCATTAGAAATTACCCGGATATCCAATATTATACAACGTATTTTTCCAGACCGCATGCCGCGTAACTCATTACTTCATCTTCACACGAGAAAACCGAGTGCAAAAGGGGAATATTAGGATATATCAAACGCTAGTTAACTGTAGTGGTATCACTGGCTTGCTTAGATGCGCATAACAGGGTGCATCTATCAAAGGCTAACTATAAAAACAAAATCAATGCAGAGAAAGGCAACAGAGTATTTTAGAAGAACATCTGTAGTCCCGATTAGTAGTAGTCTAATCCTCAAGCCCGATAGCAAGCTTCATCTTTTTCTTTAGAGGACTTTCGGGCGACGGAGGCTTAGGTTTTCGCTTGCTGCTCGACCTATATTCTTCTCAAACGGGAGAACGCATCATACACCTTAGCAAAGTACTCCCTCCCAAAGTCATGAAGCTCATTCAATTGTTCGTGCATTTGCAAAAGATAGGGGGAGAGCTGAGAACGGGCCGAGGAAAGAGCAGAGTCGAGTTTGTGACAATATTCGCCACAAACAGGAGACTGAATGTGTGTGTAGCCGTGGTAAAGAGACGTCATGTTGATATCAGGGAGGTAGAAGGCAAGAGCAGCCGCGATCAAAACAATAACAGAGGCACAGATAGCGAAATAAGTAAACAAAGAGACTCTGGAGTGGCGAGGGCGAGTTGAGGCAGGAGAGTCTGCGGAGGAAGCAGTAGCGGGGGTGCGGTGGGCAGGGGAAGATTGGGTGCGGGCAATGATGGAGTGAGGCTTTGCAAATATGCGCGATGCAGCAGCAGGATCAGCGGATGAAGTTACGTACGATCGTCTCCGATCTCTGTCCCTCTTTAACTGATGGATAATCTGCACTATTTCCTTGCGTGCCTCGGCCGGGTCGAGCGGAACGCCATCTAGGGCCATGGTGATGTATTCCTTCGAATTTGCTTGCAGGAGCCGATGCTGAAGGAGATATCTCATCATCATGCAGACGAATACTCCGCAGTCATTGTTGTTTTGTTGTACGGGGCAATCAGGCATCTGCATGAATTTGATAGGCTTTTCGCAGATGATGCTGATCTTTTCCGTAACCGCGTGTGCCTCGGTAATGTTTCCAGGTGGCAGGGAGTCATAATGGAAAGCTACTTGGTCCGCGAGGGAGACAAGCAGCAGAGACCAGTGGGTGCCGCCTTCGGCCTGCATGCCATTTTGACAGTCGTTGATGGGTAGAAAAATGTGAGAAGCACGACTGAAATCTGGCAAAGCGTTGCCCAGTGTCTTTGGGTCCGGAGTCTGGAACAGGAGAAATGACATGCTAGGTCGAAGGAGGATGATGCGAGTTTTATAAAACGAAAGCAATTCATGCTCCAGATATCTGCGGAACAAGTCAGTAGAATATCGGTCTAAATTGCCGACATATAAAGGGAGCATACTCCTCCCAGAACCCAATCACGTTGTCCGTCAGCCAGTCGGACTTGAGCGTATTATAATCTTCATATGTGACTATATAATGCGTTAGGAGGAAGATATCTGGAGAATAGGAGAAAGATCACTCACTGCTTGCATCGTGGTCTTGAGGGGCCCTCATGGTCAGTAAAATCTGTCACAGCAACCACGCACCGGTAAAAGTCCGACTGTATCACTTACAGGTCAGGTAGATATCGTCCGGACCCTTGAACATGTTAGCATTTATATATCTGTACAACTGACGGGCAAGCCTCTGATATAAAGCCATTGCAACGAGGGAACCGCAACAGCGAAAAAACACCAGCAGATAGTTAAAAGCAGACAGCCAGGATTTTCCGCGAGACCATGACTTGGCTTCCCGTGATTGATATATACTGGCACCGTCTTACATCTCTTCCGTCCAAACAAGACGAGACGGTTTGGCAGCCAGCAAGCATGTCGTGCAAGCTTATATCAAACACCGGCTAAGCAAACGAGCCCGAAACAAAAACAGCCGCAAACGACGAGAGCACAGCAATACATGCAGAGACATGCATTAGCCACTAACCTCATGATTGAAATGTTCTCTTAACTTGTTCTTGAGGCGGCCGAAACCTCCATCAACCATCTTCACAAGCCTTCGCCGCTTGCCGGAGTGTAAAGACACGATGGCTCTTCTCGTCGTCTGCGCGGAATTAAGGGAGGGAATGTAGATATCTATGTCGCATATAGAGGGAATGCGGCGACATAGACCGAAGAGAGGGAGAGATGAAGAGAATGAAGAAGAAGAGATATAGAGATATGAAGAAGAGAGGATCAAGATGGAGTTGTTAGAGCAAGTCCAACTGCGCCACCAGCACTTGTTTTTATGCGGAGAAGCAACCCGCCACCAAAATATGTTCAAACAGCGCAAGGAAACCGACCGGTCTCGAACCTCCCAGTCTGCAGTAAAAGTACGCAATAATAATTTATTTACTTCCTTCGTGTTTTCTTTTTGCCTCTACGAAAAGTCGCTTTTTCTCCCCGGATTTTCGGTACGAAGAAGAAGAGGTCACGTGGAGAATGAAGTCATAGTTCTTGGCATAAAAAAGGGGTAGAAGAAGAAGAAGATGAAGATGAAGATAATCTAGATTTACATGAAAGGTATATAAGTAGCAGCGATTAAAAACAGGTATAGCAGCGTTGGGCATGCCCTAAAGATGAAGACAGAAGGGAAAGATAAAAGTCGAACGAGAAAAAAGGGGGGGGGGGTATAAGGATGGGTTGGCTGACTCGTCTCGTTTTCCTGCTGCTTCTTCTTCCCGGGCTCGAAGGTTATAGCGAGCTGCATAGTTTTTCCCTTTCTTGTAGTCGGAGAGTAGGTTGTAGATGTAATAGTAGTAGTAGTTGTAGTAGTAGTTATAGTTGTTGTTGTTTGTGTATGTTCCGGGCGCCGGGGTATATGTAGTCAAGTTGCAGCTGTGAAGATATAGGATGCCCCCTCCAAATCCGCCCAATACCATAGTCACCATTGAAAAAAAAACAAAAAGGAAAACAAAAGACAGAAACGATACGGATAGGATATAAGGATGTGGAAAACAAACTGACAGACAAAAAAAAAAAAAAGGAGAGAAACATGCTGATGAGTTCAAAATTATCGCCCAAATAACAAAGGAGATGATAGACAAGACAAATAGACAAGATAAGACAAGAGAGAAAGAGATAAAAGGAAATGAGTTTGTCTCAGGGATAGACAGGGATATATCTGGGTCAAAGATAAATAGGAAAACATAACGATGGATATAAATCATTGATATGGCCTTTTTCTTTTCCTTTCGGTTTTTGCTTTTATTGTCAGCTTGCCAATTTGGCGAAGTGCTTCGTCCATATCCAGCCGACCTGGTGCGTGGGATCGTCTTGGTTTCGGGCAAGCCACAGATCACCCTTTTCGCCTATGACGTCGAAGATCTCACCGGCCACATAGGTTAGATACGGATAACCTGCTTCTCGTCTGGCTCGATCGATATTGAATTCAAACATGCTGGCGGCCAGAAAGAGGATGGAAGGTTCCTTCGGTGCTGAGGGATAGCTTGCATGGCTACTGGCGCCGGCACTTACGCTGCGGTTCATGGGGATACTGGCGTGAGAATGGAAACGTGAGGATGGCTCTGGGTTCTCGGCCATAGGCATGGCAGAGGAGAAGAAGCCTGAGTACCGCGTTGCTGAGGGAGAGGAAGGATGGTCGGCCGGATCAGGAGCAACGTGGTGATTGCTGTTGCGATTGTTGGAGTTGCTGTTACCGTTGACATTGATGTTGTACCTGCTACTGCTCATGAGGTGGTCGGGGAAGAATTCGAGACGGGGGGTATCTAGGGAGAGAAGAGGCAGTTTGGGAGAAGCGTCTGATGTTCGGAATGAGGCGTTGCTACCGCTTTGAGCTGTGACGCTGGAGCGTGTAGAAGAGTTTATTATCGAGGGTATTGAGGGGATATGGCTGCTGGTCACATCCTGTGCTCTCACGGAGTACGTCGAGTTGGCTCTGGTGCGGGAACCGGATGATGCTGGGAAGACATACGAGCCGTTTCCATGTTGCATGAAGCCTGTGCTGGGAGGAGTCTGTATCATATTCTCTGGGCTTCGCGAGAGGAATTCGTGAGAACCCTTGGGTGAGTTCCCTGATTCACCGGAGAATGTACGGCCAGTGGCACTGTTGACCGTTGACGGACGGCGAGAGGAGCTAGCGTCTGCCCCATGCGAAGGTGGAGGGGAGCTGTAATTGTTCACCAACGCCGTGTCAGCAAGTATGGAGCCATTGCACACACCCAGCGAAAGCACCTGGGCTTCACTGAACGAGAAATCTCCGGACCAATCGGTGATGATCTGGTTGACATCCTGCGGTAGCCTTTCGATGGAGTAGCCTAGCCTCGACTGGACCAGGTTCAGCCAGGTGGCTTGGATCTGGACGAAGGCGTTCAAACAAGCTTCCATCAGCTTGCCGGTCAACGATAAAAGTTTCGGTAGCTCATCCTTTAGTGCCATGTTGAGCGCCACAAACTGTTCTCCTTGCTCGGTGATCTTCTTGTCGGGCTTGTCGCCTCGGTCCTTGATGGCTTTGTACTTTACATAGTCCATCAGTCGCTTATTACGCTTTTGCATGACTCGCTGTGGCCCATCGTGGAGTTTCAATAGCGTCACCATCGGCGTTATTACGCTCTTCCGCACTTGGGCGATCTATACCCCCCACCGGCTGTTAGACATTAAACTTCAATGAAAAGGGGGGAAGGAATAGTTATATATAAATAAGACTTACATGGTCGACTAGAGCGACGGTCATAACGTCCTTGACGGCCAACCGAAATCGACACCATTTACTCTCGAGCTCGGGGTAGTTCGAGGGCGCGAGATTTATATACCTCTCGACAGCCACGATAAAGTCGTTAAACTTGTTCATTGAGCTTTGGATCTCGCTCAGATACCCTTCTACATCGCGCATGACAAGCTGCAGCTGGAAGAAATTATCTCCAAACCGCTGGCTGAGAATATCATATTCTTTATCTGCGAACATCTCCGTGATACCGACATGCTGCTTTAGTTTCTCAGTGCGTCGACCAAAGGCCTTTGACAGACCTGCACGGACGTCTGACTCTTTTCGTTTCCGTCCGCTGCCTACCACTTGGCCGACTAGATCTGCCCGTTTCTTCATCTCGTTGATGCGTACGGATATGGCGGTTGTGGCTGTGAGGGCATTTGATATGGCAGTGTAGTCGGGATGATCCGATGGCGTTGCGCTCAGCAGCTCGGTGAGAAGAAGCGGGTATTTGAGGATTCGCTGGACGGGCTTGACGAGAAGTGAGTCCAAGTTCCATGCAGATGTAAGGTCAGCAGCCCACTCGCGACACTCCTTCAGCCAGATGTTAACATTCTTATTCTTCAGCAAGACTTCGAGTGTCCTATTTGCTGCGTCGTGATTACGCAGGTAATCAGAGTAAACAGCCTCCATCCTCTCGATGTTAGCCATGAATGCCTCTCCGATGGCCGTCTTGCGATCATTCTCCTCGTCGGCTATCTGCTGCGGCTCGGGGCTGTTGCTAGTTGCAGAGCTGTTCTGGGTACATTTGCTACTGCGCTTACTACTCCAACGCTGAGACTTGGGAAGAATATAGACACTTCTGGCGGCTTGTTTGAGCGCATCCTGCCAGTCCATGGAGAACTGGACGACTTGCTCTGAGTTGCCGAAGAGGGTCTTGATGTCCTCTGGTGACAGGCCGAGACAGGAGCTCGATGTACCCTTGTATATGTCAACGACGACAGTCATGTCTTGGCCGAAGGTGTACTCGGTGTCGACAAGTTCCTTGATGACATTCCGTCGTTTCTTGAGCCGTCGTTCTTCAGGGGTAGGTGAGATACGGGACGCGGGGTCTAGTATGTCGTGGAACGCAGAGGTCGTTTCCGGTGCCAGGGACGACGGTCTGTCCTGCGTGTGAGAGGTCGAGGAAGAAATGGTATGCGGAGGAGTGATGTGTAACGACGAGTCCTCGCTTCGACTGCTGGGCGGTGCATCGTGGAACGTCGGTAGCGCAGGCATTGGACTTGTAGGGGGAGAGTTAGCGTATACGCTGGGAGATACCTCTACGCTAACAGCGTGCTGGTGCTGGTGGTGTTGATCTTCCACGGCAGCGGTTGAGGTCGAAGAAGTAACAGGGGGAGGAGGCGGTGGATGATGAGGCTGCGAGGGCACGGGGAGGTGCATATGGAACGGTGACGGTATAGTAGGGGAGTCTCCATCTTGTGGTGACTGGACACGGATTTCGAGTCCTAGTCCCTCAACGGTCCCGTCTATGGAGGCAAACTGAGGTGGTCCAGCGATCCGAGGGGTTTCAGCGCCCTCTTGGTCTGAGGCAGATGGGGATTCTGGTGAGGAGGTTGACGTAGAGGTCGAAGGATGAGGAATCTCCGTGGCATCTGTGGCCTGGCGTTGGTGTTGTTGATATTCATGCTCGGGCTGGGGAAGATGCGGTTGCTGCTGAGACTGAGACTGGGACTGAGACTGAGGCGGCTGCATCTCGTCCTCGCCGGCCGCCAGATGCATCCAGTCCGCGATAGAGGGTGATGTCTCCCAATCATCTCGCAGATGCAGGCTTGCTCTGGCTGGCAAGAACTCAGCAGTAGGTATTGTTGAAGAGTCTGCCACCAGCACGCCGTCCTCGCCGTCCCCATCATCCGTGCCTCTACTTACGCTGTCGTGAGCGGAGAGCCTCTTCCCTTCACTCTCACTGCTTCCGGGCGTCAGGATCGGTACTCGCGGGCGTTCGTAGCCAGCCTTTGCCAGCTCCTGAAGATACAATTGAGTAGCTCGCTTGGAATCCCAGCAGGCCTGTTTGGCGATGGTAGTGTAGTGGTTGGCCATGTTCATGCTAAACCGTCGTTCGAGGGAAGCAATGACAGCATGATCATCGTTCCCTAGTACAGGGGACTCGCTGCTGTCATCGTCGACGTCATGACTTTCATGAAGCTGCTGCTGCTGCTGTTGCTGCTGCTTGATGGGGGATATGCCAGGGTTGTGTACCTCGTCGGCCTCGCATGGTGGGGACGGCGGGAAGATCGGCTGTGGAGTCGTCGCGTTTTCGTGCAATGAGTGGGAGCTCTCACAGCTTTCTTCCTGTTCCTGATTTTTAGTCAGGGCTTCATCCTCCTGTCCGAGGTCAGACACAGCTTCTGCTTCGCCCTGTGGCGGATGCCCCTGGAAGGAAGAGTCCCACGAGCTCATGCTCCATCTATGACGGGGGTTTCCCACTTCGTGCTGGCGAGCTATCGATTCGAGATATCTTGAGCGGCGGAGCATGATGCGTATAGACTCTCCGTCGTCTGCGGTGCTGTCGTCATGCTCAGTATCATCGTGCTCAGTATCGTGCTCATCATCATGGCCGTCCGAAGTGCCGGAGATGCTTGGGCTCGATTCTCGCATCTGCATGATGTGGTTGAGCATGGTTCTATGAGTGAGCAGGCCATCCTGTGGCTCTGGGTCGAAGGTGGTGATTTCTGTGCCGACAGTGACGGCGGACTGCGGTACTGCATCTGTATTGTCTGATTCTGGGGTCTTGGGCCTGTAGGGGCTGTGTAGAGCCATATCGAGGGGTTGCTGGGCTTCTGGTTGCTGGTCTGGTTGGTAGGTTACAGGGAGTAGGACGGGAGAACGGCCCTCCTGGGGCGTAACGAAGGAATCATCATTATTATGCTCTTCAGGGGTGAATTGCGGCTCTACGCAGTCATTATTCACCGGCCGGTCGCCGGCTGTTGTCGTCTGTTCTGTTTCTTCTTCTTCTATTATAATTTTTGCTGGTTCAGCCGTTGTTGTTGTCGTTGTCGTTGTCGTTGGTTCAGATAATTCTTCGGGCACGAGCGTTGGATCGGCAGCCGTTTGTTCTGTTTCTGTTTCTGTTCCTGTTCCTGTTCCTGATTCCGTTTCTGGTTGTGGCTCAGGTTCAGTCGGTTTTTCCACTTGGTCTAATATCTGTGGTTCAGGTTCAGGTTCAGGTATGGGTTGAGGTTCAGGTACAGTAGAAGCTTCGGGTTGAGGTTGTTCAAGTTGTTGATTTTGTTGTCCAGGTTGTTGTTGTTGTTGTTGATCAAGCTGTGGCTGTGGCTGTAGCTTCTCCTGTCTGGCCATCTTCCTGGCAATCTCGCGCTCTCGTCGTACAGCAGCCCGCTCCTCCTTCTTAGCATTCTCCTCCACGGTGCGGTTGAAAGCCTGCTGAATCCGCTGCCTTCTTGCGGCAAAATCCACGTTTCCCAGCTCTGGCGGTTTCTTGGAAGCAGAGGCTGATCTAGAGCCGGCCGTGGTGGGATGGGAAGCAGCAGAAGCTGAGGCAGAAGCGGCGCGGCCGTCCTTGGACTGGAGCCCAGAGATACGATCTACAAGCCTAGCGCGAGAGGCAGAGGTGGTGGCGCTTGAAACAGGTTGTCTTGGCCGAGAGCTGCGTAGAGGGGGGGACTTTTTGGGCAACGGAGCAGAGATGAAAGCTTGGAGAGTGGGACTCTTCTGGTCTCTCGGAATAGGATGTTGATTATGTTGGTGATGAGGGTGTTGGTGTTGGTGTTGTGGTTGTTGTTGTTGTTGTTGTTGTTGTTGTTGCTGTTGCTGTCGACGGCTGCTGGCAGTCGAGCTGGTGGTTGCAGTGGTTGCAGTGGTGTTTGTCGAACAGGATCGGTTCCGGTATCGAGGCGAGAAGGTTGCGGTGGAGGCAGTTGGCGGAGAAGTTGGCTTAGGGAGCAGGCTGATTCCCTTTGGCGGAAGAGGCCCCGAGACAGGAGGATACCGGTCGAGAGCGGAGTTTGTGCGAGTGGAGGGCGAGGAATTGCCTGAGTCAGAGGCCTGGCTGGCACGCCGCGAGGGCAGGGGTATTCTCGAGAGCTGCTGGTGCTGATACTGGCGCGATGAAAAAGAGGTCGAGATGGGGTGTGGGTTCATGTTCAGCTGCGGCGAGACGGGGGAGCCCAGGTCACTTTGGGAGCGTCTGTGGGAGAGAGCAGGCAGATACCATGCAGTCGGCGAGTCCACCTGTATATGCTGGTGCGTCTGCAGGTGCGTCTGTTGCTGCGTCTGCAGTGTTTGATGCTGGTGATGCTGCTGGTGATGCTGCGAGTTTTGATAGTGGTGCTGCGGCAGGTGGTCAAACGCGCTGTCTAGGAAATGCAGCTGTTTGGGCGTATGCATGCAGCTGTCCGAGCCACTCCTGGCCCTCCGCGAGCCTGAACCCGTCTGTAGAAGCGCGGGAGTCGTGGTGGCCGTGGTGATGACGGGAGCTGCGGTGACTGGCTTGGGTATGATCTCGCCGAACAGGGGCCGTCTGGCGGGCGGTGGCCGGGCATGGGCGTGTGCAGAGACAGCAGACGGCTTGGGCACGACCTCGTCTGGCGTCTGGTTGAACCGGTTGACGAGGTCCTGCAGCGAGGACTGCCTGCTCTTGTATGCTGAGGTCGTAGTAGATACTGGTGTAGTTGTGGCCGGAGTAGCGGTGGCCGTCCGGGTCTTGCTGGGCGAGAGAGAGAAGTCCGGCAGCCCTCTCTCCGCGAGACTGCTGCCTCTCCCTCTGCCTATGCTGCTGCTCCCGGGACGGCTGTCTCTCTGGTGATGGCTCTGGTGATGGCTCTGGTGATGGCTCTGGTGGCTCTGGTGGTGGTGATGCTGCAGGTAGTAGTCGTGAGGGTCGGCAAAGGCGTCTGCGGGCTGGTAGGTCGTCTGGGGCAGCAGGACGTCCGCGGGCTCGTCCTGGTCGCACTCTCGAGCGGCGGCGATGGCAGACATGGCGGACATGGCAGACTCGGTGCGAGGGCCTTCATCTAGGGGGCCTTTCAGGGCCGGCCGGGCAGGGCGAGCAGGGCAGGACAGGGCAGGACAGGGCGGGCGAGCGAGCGGCGCGCAGAGGGCAGCAGAGCAGAGCGCAGAAGCAGGCGGAAAAAGCAAGGGAGCCGACTGTAAGACCCTGTAAGACGTGGCTCACTTCATCTTCTCATCTCTTTTGTCTCTCGCTGTCTCGTTGCTGGGTTGTCTCGCTGTCTTGCTGTCTCGCTGTCTCTGGCTGGCGAGATGTTGTGGACATGCAGGTTGGAGCTGCAGCATGCAAGTCGACGTGGATGATCTCGCAGTCATTCCTCTCCCTTTTCTCTCTCCCCCTGTACTATACGTCTTCTTCTTCCTCTTGTGCTTCTTCTTCTTGTACTTGCTCTTCTCTGTAAATAATATCCTGTCTGATATTTCTGGCTTGATATTGTCTTTGATATAAATTCAAATCTAGCCTTGGAGGATCTCCATTTTACGCTTAAAAGATACGGAAGAACCTGCTGGACTGTGGGGTTTTCGCCCTCGTTGCTTCTTCTCTCCTCTCCGTTGCTTCTTTGCTTCTTCTAGAGTACCACGGGCGTCGCAGTGCCAGTATCAGTTAGATGATGGCCTCGCCGGCGCCGGCAGTTGGGTTGAGGTTATTATTATTGAGGCACTACTGTCGATGTTTGGTAGGCCAGCGAGCAGGTTTGGTCGACGGCAGCGCGAGTGTTTCGAGTTTGATTTCAGGAGGCCCGCTGGATCTTCGGCTTCTTTTCTTCTTCTCCTGCTCGTCCGCTTCTTTGTTCATGCTGGTTATTATTTATTTTATCTTATATTAGACCGTAGATTAAGTGCTGGCCTTTGTCTGCCGTCTTGGACGTCTTTATCTCGAGCAAAGGGGCGGCATAGAAACACGTTGTAGACGACCCCTAGATACTAGATAGTCAGTAACAGACAATAACAGAAGTAAACAGTAGAGATAGAGGGATACGAGTACTGTAGGACTGTAGGACGGTCACTGTCACTCGCTGCGTTGCACGGCGCTGCCACCTCAGCGCCGTGTACAGCTACTTGCAGCTACCGGCAGCAGCGGCAGCAAACAGCAACACAGACAAGCCATGGGCAAGAGGAAGAGATCCCAGGGACACGGAGACGGGGACAGCAATGGAGACGGCGATGGAGAAGTCGATGGAGGTGATTCTGCGCCTCAGGATGCAAAGATCAGGCAGGCCGTGCTGGCGTTCTACTATCCGCGGCTGCTCAGCCTGAGGACGTATCTGCTGGAGCTGCTGCCAGCCTGCTCGACGGCCAGAAGACGCAGGATAGAGCTTGTCGGGAGGGAGCAGACGCAGCCGCAGACGAGACAGAGGAAGAAGCAGAAGCAGAAGATAGATGGCGTTCCCGGTGGTGGTGATGGTCGTCGTGATGCTGGTGATGAGCGACTGGCAGACCTGCTGGACTCGACCATCGTAGGCATCTCGAAGCCCGCCAGCCCAGCAGTCAGCGTCTTCAGGCAGAGAGAGCTCGCAGCTTTTACTCAGTCGCAGGCCATGTCCTCGAACGTCGACGCGACGGACGTTGGTGCTTCCACTGACATCGCGGACGTGAGACTTCTCCTATACCCCATGTTTACACCTATGTTTACACCTATGTTTATACCCCTATATAATGTGTGTATACCGTACTGACTAGAGTAGGTGGTCAACTTCACGATATACAGCTTGTTCAACCCGGCTGGACCGCAGGTGACGCCCCAGCACATCCTCAGCTACGGCTACCAGCGTGCTGCAGAGCCCATGGCTGCACACCGGGAGTGCGGCGTTGCGTCAGGCATACCGGGCATCGTCCCCAAGCTGCCGAACAGGAGTGTCTCGATGCTCAAGAGTGCTCCCTGGACAGACGTCATGGACATGCTGGGTGACAACGGCGAGGATATCATGCTCCATCTACTGCTGGACTGCGGGTTGTTCATCCGTCTCCAGGGCCAGTCTTACTACCAGCTCAGTGGTGAGTTTTTGATCTTTTATATACATTTGATATATTGATATTAACAGGAACAGGAACGACACTGTCCAGTATGGAGACACTGGACGCCGTGAAGAAGGAAGACGCGCCTAGAAAGCCCAATGAAGTTGTCTTTGTGCGTCGACGGATGTTCTATTCTCGTCCGGCGCTGAATGCAAAGGGGGAGCCCAAGATGGGACTACAGCATATCCGTACGTCTTTTTTTTCTCCATCAACAGACCAGCAGAGATACTGATGGATAGCTACAGATGTGCTGAATAGATACCCGGAGACCAGCATCAGCCATACAGTACATGTTATGAAGCACATCTTTCCTCGCCAGTTTGGTCTTCACAACGCCTTTACCTCCACTGTCACCAGGACAGAGACAACCATGCCGTTCAAAGACTACTCGCTGAGGGAGCAGGAGATTGCCCTGAAGCCGGGAGATAAGATCCCCCGACGGCTGCGAGGTAGACTGGTCGAGTTGATCCAGCGTATGCAGAAGAGACATGCTCGATGTTCCTATGTAGAGCTACTCCGCCATTACTGTCCAAAGGTATACCCCTTTTATTCTTCTACCATAAACATATCTTCTTATATTAAGGGGCCTAGGTTAACAACATGTAGAAAACAATAAATAATGGAAACGAAAAAGTTAGCATGACAGACTATGCAACTCCAACACATGCGGTCTCAGCCTTCTGTCGTGCAGTCCTGCAGAAAGTGATACCACATGAGCTGTACGGATGCGGCGAAGATGGCCTCCACAACAGAGCCGTTGTCATGCGCAACGTCGACCGGTTTCTCTCTCTGCGCCGCTTCGAAACCATGTCTCTCCACGAGGTCGTTCAGGGGCTCAGGATCGGATGTGTCGCCTGGCTCTCTCCTCCGTGTCAACAGGGGGGTTGCACAGATCAGGGGCAGCCAGGAAACCATAACCATAACCATAACCACAACCACAACCACCACAACCACACCAACCATAAACTAGCTCTGTCAGATTATCGAAAGAGGACAGAGATATTTCTCGAGCTCATATATTACCTGTTTGACTCCCTGCTCATCCCCCTGGTCAGATCCAACTTCTACCTGACCGAATCGAGCACGTATAAGCACAGACTGTTCTACTTTCGACATGATGTATGGAAACGCCTGTCCGAACCCGTCATGGCGGACCTCAAGTCCACGCTCTTCCAGGATATCAAACACAGTAAAGCGGAACGGCTGCTCAACGGCGAATCCCTGGGCTACTGCCATATTAGACTCCTGCCCAAGTCTCAGGGCGCCAGGCCCATAGCTAACCTCAGGAGACGGCCGGTGCTCAAGAATAATAAGGGACGGTCTGGACATGGACAGTCCTTCCTTGGATCGAGCATAAACTCCCAGCTCGACCCCCTTTTCCAGGTCCTCTGCTACGAACGAGACCAGTGCCCGGAATCCGTAGGATCAGGCCTCTCGTCAACGGCCGCAATGTATCCCCGGCTAAAAAGGTTCAAGGAGCAAATTAAGGCATCACCAACACGAGCTAACGGCCCGCTGTACTTTGTTAAATTGGATGTCCAGGCCTGCTTCGACACAATCCCTCAGGCAAGGCTGATGCAACTAGTCGATACGCTGGTGGTTGACGATTCGTACCGTCTCTCTAAGCACGCGGAGTTTCATCCTAGCATCATTACAAGCGGGCCGTCGCGGGAACAAGTGAAACAGCAGCCCCGGGAGTCCAACAGGAACAAACCAACGAGGAGGTTCGTATGGCGAGCAGCAGCCTCTGATGATTTCCAGCCCGTATTCGACGCTGTTTCATCCTCATCCTCAACAACGCCTGGCCAGTGCAGTAGCAGCAACAACAGCAGCAGCAGCTCCAACCGCAGAAGCAGGTGTGGCGGTGCACCAGCAGTGTATGTTGAGAATGGCTGGCACCGGACCCATACACGGGACGACCTGCTAGCCCTACTTGAGAAGCATATCCGCAACAACCTGGTCAAGATCGGGAAGAAATACTACCGCCAGAAAAGGGGAATTCCGCAAGGATCCGTGGTCTCCAATCTGCTGTGCAACTTCTTCTATGGCCAGCATGAAGAGGAGCGACTGGGTTTTCTGCGCGAGCCCCAGGCGTCGGCCCCGACCTTGCTGATGCGGTATGTCGACGATTACCTGCTTATCAGCACCGACAGGAGGCTTGCCGAGCGGTTCCTGCAAGTGATGCTGGACGGGGATGAGGAGTTTGGCATATCCGTTGCCCCGGAGAAGACGCTGGTTAATTTCGACGTCAACATCGCGGGCAGGCATATCCCCCGTCTCGAGGGACGCCAGCTCCTGTTCTGCGGCGCCCTGATCGACGTGAAATCTCTGGCTCTCACCAGAGATCGATCGGCCACGAGTAACATCATCGACGCTGGCGCTGGCAGCCGCGCTGATAGGGCCAAAGGGAAGAACGCCGCCGTGAGCACCCACGACTCGCTGACGGTCAACATGACACGCCCGCCGGGCCAGGAGTTCACCCGCAAGGCCCTCAAGGCCTTCCAGATGCAGGCCCAGACGATGTTTCTCGACACGAAACACTCGTCCTCTGCCGTCGTGCTGGCCAGCCTTTTCCGCTGCTTTGCCGAGTGTGCCCTGAAGACCCGCGTGTACTACCAGGTCATGCAGCGGTATTCGTCTGCTCGATCCTGCTCCTGCTCGCCTGGCCTGCTCATCTCGACCATCACCGCGGTGCTGGAGTATGGGGCCTGCCGAGTCCGGACTGCGCCCGCCGCTTCAGGGGTTCCAGCCGGCTTCGAGTGCAGCGTCACACCGCGCCAGGTGCGCTGGCTAGGAGCCACGGCCTTTCGCCGTGTGCTGTCCCGCCGCCAGAGCTACTATGCGCCTGTTCTGCGCTGGCTGGATGCGCTTCTGCGAGCCTGCAGGCCGTCCACCGACCGCGAGCACTTCAGGCTCCGTCGGGCAGTCGCAGGCCCATAACAACCCTCGCTGTAGCCCCACCCAGCCTCTCTCTATATACACCAACCTAGCACTAACAGCACTCCTACTTATCACCTACTCACCACTTCTATCAATATCTTTATCAATATCTCCCAATATCTCCCAATATCTCCAATATCACATCGACGTCGCCCTTTTTTTATATTGTTTTTAAGTCTAAAAATAGCCTTTTTTACTCCTGAAAAAACGCCAAGACTTGAAATTGCGTTTGGCAGAAAAAAAGCAACGTGACTCACCGCTTTCCGTCTGTGGCGGTGGCTTGCCCTAACGCTAGTCCTATTTAATCCATCACGTGATATCATCAGCCACACTAGCCACATGGAGAAAGTCACGTGAGCATCTCTTCGCTCTTCGACTTTTCTCTGGCTTTTTTCGACTTCGACTTCAACTTCAACTTCGACATCGCGACTTTTGCGCTTTGCCAGGCTTCTTTTTGCTCGTCTACGGCGCTCGCTGTCTCTCGTTTGTCTCTTTGTCTCTTTGTGCTGTTGTCAGTCGTTTCTCTCGCCGCAGCCCGGCCGCCTGCTGAACCTGCTGCATCTCCACCGCAGGATCCAAGGGGAAAGTTAGATCTAGCCAACTTCTCGTCTCTTACCCCCCCCCCTGCGAGATCGTCCGTATTTTCCTGGCCCTTCAGCTCTGGTTCAGCCTGGGGCATCTCCTTTCTCTCTGTGTTAAGGGCCGACAGCTCGCGGACGACTCTGCCGTTCATTGTCATTCTTATACTCGCTTTTTCTCCTGTTCACGACCGATCCCGCCTGCGTTGTACAGCGGCAATATAGACGGACCCGGATAGACGCCCGCCAGGCAGACCTGCAGATAGACACAAGGTAGAACGTCGGAGGGAGCGAGGAATACGCTGGAATGCGATGAGTACGATATCTGCGGCTGTACCGGACTCGCCCCCTGACCTGTCGGGGTCGAAATCGTCAAAGTCCTCCTCCTTCCACACGTCCTCGCACCAGTCCAACCCCGATGGCGTGTTTGCGGACATCTCCAACTTCGAGGACATCGCGCTGGAAGATGACCTGGTTGCGCAGTTCGGCAGTAATGCCCTAGACCACCGCCACTTCGACCAGGGACCGTATCCCGTGCGGTCGACGAGTGTGCCGGGCAAGAAACAGAGCCTCAGGCACAAGCAGCACCACCACCACCCGAAGAACCTGCACAGCAAGAACCCAGAGGTGGCGGCCCGCACGAAGAGCAACACCGCAGTCATGACCATGAGAGACCTGACCGGCCCTGCTAGCAGGCAGAGCAGTGGTGTGGGCGGTCCTCATGGCAGTCATCACACTGCCAACATCAACAATATTAATAATAATAACAATGGCACCTACGGCCGCCGCGGATTCGCGCAGTCCACTCCTCACGTCAATGGCATCAACCAGTCTATGCAAGCACTATCTATACAGCCACCCTCGGCCAGACGAGCGCTGAGCAGCACGTCTGACCCTTCTCTACTCCTCGCCCCGTCTAGAAACAGACAAAAGCAGCAACAACAACAGCAACAACAACATCATCATCAACAGCAGTCCCGCTCCCCTTCGCCTAGCGGTAGTGGCAGGAGTCGGTCGAGGAGCCGCCCCCCTCCTCCGTTTGCCCGTGGCGACTCTGGCATTTCTGGCTCTTCCACGGCTTCCATTCCTCGACCTCCGTCGCGACAGCCGAGTCGTAAGTCCGTCAAGGAGCTGGAGGAGGAGTATCATGATTCGGATGAGGATCTCCCCGAGGACGCCACACTATGGAACGTCCCCATCTCTCCACGCCCGCAGGACGAGCGTCCGAGAGGCCGGGACAGCAGTCGCTCGCAGAGCCGCAGTCCAGGTCCGAGACCGATTCCCTTACATGAATCCGCACCACAGCTTCCTTCTTCTCGCTCGACCTCCCCGCCTCCTGGCAGCGCTACGCCCAAGTACAGACCAAAACACAGACGGGGCCGGTCACGGTCCATGGGCCCCAGCCCGCGAGTGTCCCGGGGCACCGCCAGTCCAGCTCCCTCGCCAGACCGTCGGGGGCCCAAAGCCAACACTTGGAATGTGGTCATGTCAGAGCTCTCGGAGGAAGCCAGGATCATCACCGAAGCATTGGAGTTTCACGCTGACGAAGCTGCGCGGGACCACGAGGCCAGAGTGCAGGCCGGGCTGAAGCCGAGGCCGGTACCGAGTGGGAAACGGGCTTCTGGCGGGATGATCGAGCTCCCGCCGCTGCAGAGACCGAATATCATGATTGATCCGCTGCCGATAAGCAAGGAGAAGGAGAAGGTTCTATCTCGGACACGGCCCAGCTGGCTGCCTCCGAAGGACCAGAAGGAAGAAAAGAAGCATCTCAAGGAGTACAAGCGGATGATGGCTTTATCCAGAGAAGCTGGTGCGTATACATACATGTACTTTGCAATATGTGTCTGGGAAGGTCAACTAACTGTGGGATAGATAAACGGCGGGCGGCGGAAGAAGCGTCAGCGCAATGTAAGAAGGACGACACTCGCAAGATGCTGCAGCGCATCTGGGACGACTATGTGTTCCCTGACTGGGACAGGGTGATTGCCGAGCCCCGAACACGAGAGCTCTGGTGGCGCGGTATCACGCCTCGGTCTCGCGGGGCGGTGTGGCAGCGAGCCATTGGCAACGAGCTGGCCCTGACAGAGGAGTCGTTTGTCAAGGCGCTGGAGCGGGCCGAGCAGCTCAGGAGCAAGACGGGCGACGGGTACAAGTGGGCGCATGAGCGGTTTGCAGCCATCCGCAAGGATGCAGCTAGTGCCTTTCCTGCGCTGAATGTGTTTGCAGAAGGCGGACCGCTACATGATAGTCTGGTGCAGGTGCTGGATGCGTATGCCATGTACCGCAGCGACGTAGGCTACATCCACGGCATTCACGTATGTTCCCTTTTATCCTATGTTAATAATGTGTGTGTTCATGTGCTGACAGTATGTTCTAGACCATTGCTGCTGTTCTACTACTGCAACTGCACACGGCCTCTGCAGCCTTCCTGACTCTGGCCAACGCCCTTAACCGACCGGTAGCCCTGGCCTTCCTGACATCTGACCCCGGAGCCACCGCCCGAGCATACAGTCTGGCCTCTGCAACGCTGCGTCTCAAGTTCCCGCGCCTGTCGACGCATCTATGCGAGAACCTGTGCCTGTCCGACTCGCAGATCTGGGAGCCCATGTTCCGCTCGCTGTTCACGAACGGGCTGGACGTCGACCATGTCTCGCGCATTTGGGACTGCTGGGTGTTTGAAGGCGACCGCATCCTGTTCCGGGCGGGCGTGGCGGTGCTGGGATGCCTGGAGACGCAGCTGCTGGGCCTGGTGCCGGGCGAGGAGGGCCAGCGGGGGGCCACCGACGTGCTGGGCTGGGGCTCGAAGCGGCTATCAAGAAGAGGCCGGAGCCGGTCGGCGTCAGACACGAGCAGCGAGGCGGCGGCGGAGAGCAAGCTGTACTGGTCTCTGGGGACTCAGGGGACAGACGCTTTTATGCAGCTTGTCAGGGAGGCAGGAAGGTGATCTCTCTTCTCCTCTTCTCCTCTTCTTCTCTTCTTCATCTTCGTCTACTACTTCTTCATCTTTCGTTTTGTCATCCTGTACATCAGCTAGTCTAATATTAATCTGCAATAATCAATGCTTAATAAATCTTTCTTCCATAAATGTCTGTCTCTTATATCTGATATCTGATATCACCCCCCTGTCCGTCCATCCCGGAATCGTCGCGGAAAAACAAAGATCCGGCCGCGTCGCTCTGGCTGCCTTCGAAGCTTCCAGCATCAAAGTCGAAGGTCGACGAGCAGTTCAGCAACTTTCAGCACCGCCGGCTATCCAGCGTCACTTTCCAGGGTGTGATAGACGAGTTCTTCTTCTTCTGCTTGCTTGCTTGCTGCTGTTCTTGCCTGTCTGTCTTTGTCTAGTTGTTCTGTTTGTCGTTTGTATCTTTTGAGATGGCTCCCGGGGTAACTGGGTGTCTGGGTGAAGGTGAGTGAGAGCAGAGCTCCGGCGAGCTTGGAGACGGCGAGACTGACGGCGAGCAGATGGCATACATGTCGACATGGAGCATCTCAAGAAGGGAGAAGTCAAGTAAGTCGAGATATCCCTTTGGAAGTGAATTGTGAATCAAGCTGACCTTTCAGTCTGGGTACATCAATGTAAGCCGACGACATATCTAATATATATATACAATACGTGGACTAATGAGGCAGAATGGCCATCAACTTCAAGGACGGGGTGATCCTGGGCGCAGACTCACGCACGACGACGGGCGCGTATATCGCCAACCGGGTGACGGACAAGCTGACGCAGGTGCACGACACGATCTGGTGCTGCCGCTCTGGCTCGGCAGCAGACACGCAGGCGGTGGCAGACATCGTCAAGTACCATCTGGGCATGTACGGGGTGGTCTACGGCCGGCAGCCAACCACGCAGACAGCCGCTGCTCTCTTCCAGGAGCTATGCTATGACAATAAGGATGCTCTCAGGTAGACACCCTATCTTACTCAGGATATCAAGAATAAGTGAGTTAACAAGTTAGTGCCGGCATAATAATCGCAGGCTACGACGAACGGCACGGCGGCCAGGTGTACAGCATCCCCCTGGGCGGCTCGCTGCACAAGCAGCCGTATGCCATCGGGGGCTCGGGCTCGACGTACATCTACGGCTACTGCGACGCAAACTGGCGGGAGAACATGAACGAGGCCGAAGGGGTGGAATTCGTCAAGAACTCGCTGCGGGAGGCGATCAAATGGGACGGCAGCTCGGGGGGCGTCATCCGCATGGTCGTGCTGACGAGACGCGGCGCCGTGCGGCATCTCTACCTGCCCGACAACGGCTATACAGGCCCCGGGGCGTCCCCAGTATCTTAACCTGTCAATGCTACCGACTTCTTCTACCAAATGCCAGCTTCAACGTTGTGTGGAAATGCTATCAATATAGCTTGCTATCGAATGCAAAAGTAAATGCGGGCTAAGCATGGATCGCTGCCCGCCGTAAGCAGGGAACGGAAGAGCCAGCGACCACTCACTGGCGCGCCAAAAGCCCACGTTCACGCAGCAAGATTCTGCTTCTTGACCTCTTCTTCTTCTTAATCTTCTTCTTTAATATTCTTCTTTTAATCCTCTTCTTAATCTCTTCTATATCTCTATCTCTGTCTCTATCTTGTATCTGTGGTGGCGAACATCGACCGCCCAGGCTGCCCCACCACTTTGCCTGCGCTGCCTCTGGCCGGCCCTTCGAAGGATACTGTTAAATACCAGCGGACAGCCAGCGCATCCTCTCGACGGCATCCCCAGGGCAGTTCACGGGCACTTCACGGGCATCTCGACGGCCTCCAGCAACCACAGGCCCCCTTCGTCTCGTCTCGTCCGTCCCGCTATGTGCATGCTGACATGGGCGCCGTTGCCTGCGCCCCGTTGCAGCCGCCCTTGATCGCCAGCTCGTCCGGCGGCCAGCAGCACCGCAGGGCCTCCAGCAGCGCCGGCAGCATGCTCTCTGCCGGCCTCAAGCGCGAGCTGGAGACAGCGGCAGCGTCGTCCGCAGAGGCTGGCCCGGTGGCTGCGGCGACGGCCTCGCGAGAGACCGCAGAGTCTGCGCCGGCCTCCATCTCCCAGCATCACCACCTCCATCACCATCAGCAACAACAACAACAACAACAACAACAACCACAGCAACAACACCCGCAACAGCCACACCCGCATGCCTCGACGACCAGCCTGCCCAGCTCGACGGCGGCCGCATCGTCCATCATACACCAGCGACTGCCCGACAGACAGCGGATGAACGGCCATGAGCTGCCTGCTGCCTCCCAGCCCGCCTTTCGGCCGGCCCAGGGCTCGCCTACATCTACATCAACATCTACATCTACAGCAACGTCTACGTCTACCCGTATAAAAGTCCGGGATCTCTCGCATATCCAGTCGTTTGCCAGCGAGGAGGCCGCCGCCGGGTCGTCGCAGCACCGGCCCGGCGGCCTGCAGCGCCAGTACGAGATCAGCTCCATGCCCGTGGCCGACGTGATCGAGATGGTGGCCGGCCTGCTCACCAAGATCACCACGACCAACGACCGCCAGCACGAACACCTGCACCGACATATCCCCAGGGCCGAGCAGCGCTCGCTGCCGCCGCAGACCACCAGCGTGCTGGCCTTTCACGGCAAGAATGTGCCCGGCATCACCATCCTCAACTACCTCAGCCGCATCCACAAGTACTGCCCGACCACCTACGAGGTCTTCATCAGCCTGCTCGTCTACTTCGACCGCATGACCGAGACCGTCAACTCGCATCTCCTGCAGCAGATGCACCGCCGCGCCCATCTGCGGCCCAACCCGTCCATACGCACCATGTCGACCTCTTCCTCCAACAGACCGCATACCTCTTCCTCTTCGCCCTTTTTCTCCCCTGCAAACGCCAACCCCAATACCAATACCAATACCAATAATAACGCTACTATCAGCAGACGGTTCTCCTCCCGGCGGTCGACAGAGACCTCGATTGCCCGGGTTGCAGTCAGCAAACAACACCTGCCCCCGACCTCGCCCGTCGATCACCCGATGCGGTCCCCTTCCGTCCAGGACGAGCACGACCAGGAAGCAGAGCACGACCTCAGCGACTCCGACGACGACCTCTCCGACGTCTCCGATGAGCTCAACTTTTCCCATTTCCTCGTTGTAGATAGCTATAACATACACCGCCTCGTCATTGCGGGCGTCACCTGCGCCAGTAAATTCTTCTCTGATGTTTTTTACACTAATTCCAGATACGCCAAGGTGAGTCCTTTACTCTATCACTTCACTCGCATTGACATTGATACTAATATGAACATCTACAGGTTGGAGGCCTTCCGTTGATAGAGCTGAACCACCTGGAGCTGCAATTCCTGCTGCTCAACGACTTTCGTCTGGCCGTCCCCGTCGAGGAACTCGAGGCCTACGGCACCATGCTTGTCCAGTTCTATGCCAGGGAACTCGTTGCTCAACAGCAGCAGCAGCAACAACAACAACAACAACACCAACAACAACAGGGAACACCGCAGCCCGGTTCCAACGCCACGGCCACAAGCGCCATGCAGCACCAGGGCGATCCTCCGGCCCAGAACGACAGATTCACACCAACACATACATAAAACGGCGCGAGAGTTACGAGTTCTTTTTTTTTTTTTTTTTTCTTCCCTTCTCCTTTCCTTACTTTCCTTGCTTTTTTTGTCTATCTTTCTATCTTTCCTCTCTCTGTCTATCCTTTTCTAGTTTCCTTGATTCCTCTCCCCTATGATGAAACGGCAGTTGGTCCTTGTCAGACGTGCTCCCTCCAGGCGTTGTGTACAGTGTACATCACCACCACCACCCAACCCCCCCCCATGCACCATAAGTCACCATATCCCTCCCTCTGGCTCCGTATATACTGGAGATACCCACTAGCCCTCCTCCCTGTCTGTCTGCTCTCCCTCTCATGGATGTATTTATTTGATGTCTGGATGGATGGACGCTTGAATGGCCCCCTTGTCTACTTAGTCTCTCTTCCTCCCCCTTTTTTTTTCCCTTCTGCGTCCACTTTTTGAATCTACGGAGTAGCTACTTAGATCCGGAAACGTCATCGTCCTCGCTCATAGTAATGTCTATTTTACCTCCTCCCGCGCGTCTCAGCCTCTCTTCTAGCTCCGTCTCAGCTTTCCTCCTCCTCCTCCTCGTCGCCGCCCCTGAATCAGCCCTGAAAAAAGCCCCCTTAAAAAGAGCCGCCAGCTTATGTAATCCGGCGTCTATTTTCGTACGTTTTTTTTTTTTT